GAAACCATATGAGCACCCCACTCAAAGTCTCCAACTCCTCTAAAGAATTGCAAACAAATCCCAGTAACCCCTGACCAGTGAGCTGAGACCTCTTTTCCATATGATGGAGGTTTGCATAGAAGACAAATTAGATGAATAAATGACATGACTTTTAGGGTAAGTCGCGTCTGCTGATTCTTCTCTCTTTTCTTTTCTTTCCTCCTCCTTCAGGATAGTATTCAAAGTCTTCACATTAAAAATTACAGATCTAGTGGCTGTACAACAATCTATAGTTGCAATGTAACATGCCTCTCAATCTACACAAGGAACACCTAGAAAAAGCTTGTGTGCAACATTATTCAAAAAGCAAATGATATGCAATAATCTGCAAGAACATCTGTTTCAGTTTAGATGAGAATGATGGGTTAATATCACTGCCAGGTAAAAGAATACTTTATCAAGTAAAAATAACAAAAGGATGTCATTACATCCTTGTAGCTGTAGAGGAAATCAAGATTTGCTTTTCCACAGGAAGGATGTTACTATAGTTTACCTGATTAAATCAGCAATGGATATGATTTTCAAGTTCTCTTTCTCTGCAAATTGTCGTAGCTTAGGTAACCGAGCCATGGAACCATCATCATCTACAATCTCACACAAAACTGCAACAGGTTCTAACCCAGCCAATACGGCAAGATCAACAGAAGCTTCAGTATGTCCAGCTCTTTTCAGAACACCCCCCTCCCTATACTTCAATGGAAAGATATGACCTGGGCGGTTGAAATCCTCAGATTTTGAATCTTTAGATGCCAGAGCCAATATTGTTGTTGCTCTGTCATGAGCTGACACCCCAGTAGTTGTACCGTATTTCGCATCCTGCAGAAATGCACAATAGTCAATATAAAATAGTTACAGCTGATCAAGATAGAAAAACATAAGCATGGAACTATTTGATATACAGTCATTAGCTCTCACTGGTTAATTGAAATATGCATTTCAATTCATTTGCATTTTATGTTTAATATCAGAAAAAAAAGTTTCTAGGAACTCAACTAACAATTAAAAGGGGAGATTTTATGGATCACCTAAAGATGTCAAAGCTCAAGAGAAGACATTGGTAATTTCCATAATGGATATTTCCATTTTACTCTCACCCCATCATCATAAATTGTTCTGTTACTGGTTAAAAGAAAAAAACATTAAACGACTTCATTCCAAATTCTATTAACAACTGAGGAGTCCATATTGGATGGAAAGCCTTCTTCTCTAGAACAAAGAGACCACAATGAAGTCATTTCATTTAATATAGCATTCAAAAAGATTATAACCAAAATTTCTGCCTATCATACTTTAACTTACTCTTATACTAAGTTATTTAGCCAACCAACAATTAAGGTAAACTAAAATTGGCATATTCTTTTTTCCAGCCTTATCTTATACTGAATGTCACAAACAAAGCATAGTTTGTGTCTTCTAAACAATTATTTCAAGATGGAGCAGAACATATACCACTGAAACTGTGAATGCTGTACGAAGTTTCTCATCATTCTCCTTATTGGTTACCATCAAAGGAAGTTCTAATCTCTCTAGGTCTTCTCCTTTCATGCTTACACATACGATTCCAGTACCATGCTTTACAATAAAAGCCACTGCTGCAGGTGTTACCAGTGATGCCGCCATTATAAGATCTCCCTCGTTTTCTCTGTCTTCATCATCTACAACAATGACTAACTGCACATGTGAACTCTAAGTCAGTAACAACCTTAAATGACAAAAATGAGGTGCTACAACCTAAACCAATATAACTACAAACGAACCTTGCCTTGACGGATGTCTTCAATGGCCTCTTGTATAGAGGAAAACCCTTCTGTAAGATGGTCCAAATCATGTTCATCCTTATCAACAAAAAATTCATCAGTAGCTGGTACAGCATCTGCTGCAAGTATGCCAAATGCTACTGTATCAGGTTGCATTTCAACACTTGTCTTTCTATAAATAAGAGAACTTTGTCCTGCAACTGAATCGCCTTTGTAATAAGATAGGAGATCATCTTCTCCAGATATTAATGTTGCCCTAGCTTTACCGTCACCCTTGACACTGAAGCATGATTTTCTGCTTCGGTAGACCAAATTTGAACTGAAGGGATTCATGGTATGCAATCCATACCAGTTCGTGTTTTTGCGTCCCCTAGAGAAAGCACACATTATTATTCTTATTTACACCACAGTCAAAATAAAGGAGAAATAAATGAAAATTATATATTTATAAACCTTAAAATGAACTACCAATCAATAAGTAATTAAAATTATAGTTCTATAACCTGTCTATAATGACTGCCAATTAAGTTTGCAAGCTCATTTCTCTGAACAAAACATAGAAAGAATATTTTTCATTTTTTTTCTTTTGTTTTTGAATTTCTTTACATTTGGGATTAAGGTTGAGTTGAGCTTCTTTCAGACAAACCTCGGGGTTAGTGAAGTGAAGACACAACAAGTCWTTTTTTTCAATCATTTATCCTTTGCAATTACTTATTTGTGCACTTTCATGGGTTTCATGATATTTCATTTCTTTCTCGCGCCTTAGGCATCCAATTATCTCGTCAAGACATCGGATCTAATCAAAATTAGCAACGGCCAATTCCTTTTTCATCTAAGCTGGGACATCCAAATAAACCACATCCGAAAAAATAAATAAAAAAACAGCAAAAGAAATCTACTAGCCCAAACTATGATAATTAAAACAAACGGCCGAAAGAACGGAGAAATGATTGGATAATTCAAAGGCCAAGAAAGCGTAGCAAATCGAATGATATAACATGAAGTACGTAAGGCCAGAATTATCCTTCATTTATCAATTCCTTCGACATACATATCATCATATGGAGAAAAGTAAACCACAGACTAGAATTGCAACAAAACAGAGGAACCCAATTCCAACTCGCGCAAAAAATAAAAAACAAAAACAAAAATAACATGAAATCTGACACACCCCACGCAATTAAAACTAAAGCTAGCTGCCAGAGGGAAAAATCATAATAACCCATGATCCGAATGAATCCAAAAACCTCGAAAATAAGATTTCCAGGCATTCGGTATGTAACAAGAAATATTGTTGAAAATCCTTCTCTCAGCCGCCCCAAAAAGGAAAAAGTTACAATAAGGAAGGAGAAATGGGAGAAGACGAGCTTACTGTGAAGAGAACAGAGCAATTCTTGGGTAGGAGGAGAGGTTGATGGACGCCATTGCTCCCGCTCCAAAACTTTCCTATCTGAATTTCACCAAAACTCCAGAACCAAGCGGTATTTCTTCTTATTCTTAATTTCTCATATATATAATATGAACTCCCCTTGCWAACTCGTGGAAATAAATTAACGAGAATGAGAAGCAACCGCGAAACGAAAGAGAGAACTCATGGGTTGGATTCGGCAAAAAGGAGTCGTCAGCCCACCAAGGAACAGAAGGCTGAGATTCTGTCTCTATCCGTCAATCGACCTACCAGGTCCATTGGTACCTTTTTATCCCTTTTTTTAATATTAATAGTGAGTCTGTCAGATAGGGATCAGCGCTTCAACAGTTCAATAGTCGGCACCACATCTTTGACCTTATTTTATTTTTCTTATTTTTTTTGGTAAAGACCTTATTTTATTTTTCTTGTAAGGTGCAATATGCGAATGTGCTGTCAACCGTTGGATTGCATCACGATCGGGAAGTTTGAATCCTGACCATTGGATGCCAAGCTTTTGAGATTCAATACAGAACTGAGAATTGTGACACTAAKTAGAGACAAGCAACTTCCATGCTTCTGAGCTGACCAACGGTGATGGTCAAATTCAAATACCATGGCAAATCCAAATTTGTTTCTGGTTCCATGATCATGGTTATGGCTGCGGGTTCGGATCCACGCTGGATCCCTTGATCCCATCCCGTCCTATCCCTTTTTGTCACCGGGTTAGGTTTTGGAGGGAAAACAACCCGTGCGGCATCCGGGTCTATGTAGTCAGGATAAAGCTTTTTGTTGTACAAGGGTCATGAGTCGATTTGTTGGATGGCTCCACCAAGGCCGGTGGAACTAGATCATGATCTCATGTGCACATGATTGGAGCTCATGTATGGCCCTTTTTGTTCTATGGGAGGCATTGCTTACATATGCCAAAGGGGAATTATATCAATGATGTGTGCTAGGCAACTAATGGACCTTGTGAATACACCCATGTGTATGGACGGTGGGGTAACTCGATTAGCTTAAACATGAGATTGATGAGTTGTAGGGGCATGCTTAAACATGACGTCGATCTATGCACTATCCCCATGAATAATGTGTGTTCATGAGGATCTCTGGTAGTTATGCTAGCCATTAATCAAAGTCGCCCATAAGGGATGTTGGTCATGGGATTGAAGTGCCAATTGTAGGCACTCGAGTGGGTTAATCACCCTTCATCAAAGAGAATATTAAGCTTTTGGAACTCCACTAGAAGGTAATGTCGTTTTTCTAAAAAATCATACTAGAAAAATTTACGATAGTGCCACTAGACCATGATAATATGGTGGGTCCTATTTCCACTCTCCAATCTAGTCCCATTTAAGCATTCAAGTAAGTATCTTAAAAAAATGTGTATATTGTAATAAGTTGGAGAGAATACATGGTTCGATGTTTAGTCTCAAATCATGCTTAAGCAGTACTAGTTCATGATCAATTCAAAGGGCCAAGTCAAGTCTTAGAGACCGTTTGCGAGGACTTCTGCATTCTGATTGAGCCGGCTCTAGGGCTGCAAATGGATTGGATCGAATCAAATATAGGAATTGACATTTGAATCCGAATCAAATCATATTTATCGAATATCTAGTAGATTCAAATCAAATTTGGCTTATAATCAGATATTAAATAATATAAATAAATTAGATTAAAAATGATTAAAATATTATATATTATTAATAAGATGAGCTAAAAATGACTTTAATAATATATTTTATGAATAGAATGAATTAAAAATTACTTGTATAAAACTTGAACATATGACAATTTAGTGAAAAATACAACATTAAGATAAACTTCAATGATAAATATAATATGATTTTTAAGTATATATGAGCATATGTATTTAAATCGAATCAAATCAGATTATATTAAAACAAATAGGGTAGATCGATATCTGATCCAATTATAAGCAGATCGAATTCTGATCAGGCTTAATAGGATCAGATTTGGAATCGGATACCGTTTGCAGCCTTATGAGCCACTATAGAGAAGCGGCGATGGTTGAGCAAGCATGTCTGTTCTAGGTAAGCACATTCCTAGCATGGCGTTTGGAATGTGCATGTATGCATTCCCGATTTTTACCAAATATAGCTTATACATTTTCCATGTGGGGTCCATCTTGAAATGTAGGAAGCAAATGCAGCCTTCTTGGTGGTGAAGTCTACCTACATTGCTGAAGGCAACAGCTAAGGGGATGTGCTTCAATGTTAATAGTTTTTCTTTGTGTATGTATTGGTTGTAAATAAAATGTTTCTTAAAACAAAACATGAAAAACGTGTTTTTGGTTGTTAATATGTTCTTTGTTTCTAAAACGTAAACTAACAAATAAATGCGTTTAAGCATATTTTTAACTCATACGACATATGTACTGCAACATTTGTTTATTTTTTAAGAATCATCAATTTGATGGTTTCAAAAATATTAATTCATTTTTTAAACAAAAATCTTAAAAATAACTGAAAACACGAATAAAACAACTCCTTAACGTGCCATGCCCCTATCCTAAAAAAATAAAAAAATAAAAAATTAACGGAGTGTTAACTAGATTGCTAGCATGGCAATTGCTTTTGCTTTCAAAAACAAAACCAATCATATTGTCTAACACCCCCTTAATAGCCTTCCTTCTATGGTATATATGTGGAAAAAATCGGAGTTGAAATATCTTTGACAACAGCCCTGGATCATTATTTAATTTAATGCAAGTCAAATCACTCTCATTAGTGTGGTAGCTAAGTCATCAGGGTCTTGAAGCAATTGGTAAAGAATGTATGCTGGAAAGTGAAAAATGGGGAGAGGATCTTTCTGATGGAACATCCTTGATCCCAACTTTTAGAGATGGCATTCACAATTAGAGGGGAGAGTGTATTCACTATCTTAATAACTAAAAAAGTGAGTGAATTGTTATGTGGAGCACAACTTTTATAACAATACATACTTTGATGAAAAATCAATTCATCATATCATAAAGCAAATACTTGTCTTGTGTTTTATGCAAGTCATAAAAGTTAAATCCAAATATCATACTATCATGATTAATACCTATATATGCATAACACATGCAAATATGCTCTTATATTAGTTAAAGCAAATGAAAGCACTTATCCTACCCACATGACATCGTAGCCATACATTGGGAACATCTCCTCTATTTGTATGTTATGATGCATGGGAAGATGTTCCCTGGCTATAGTGTTCCATGGGTAGGACATGGTAGAGTTCTTATAGGTAAGAAAGAGATCCAAAGTCCAAATGATGGAGGGCAATAATAAAGGAACTTATATGGTAAAATATGCTAATTATAAATCTTTCCTGAATCTTTTCTAAGAAAGTATTCTATACCTTCTCCTAGGAAAATAAAATGGATGAAAATTTGGAAGTTAAATTGCCTTATTTGTACAATTTTCCTCTGGAAGTGTATTAGGGGGACTCAAAGAAAAGGAACATTTTGCATGTTTTTTAAGAATAATAAAGAAACTTCAAGAGGTTTGACTAATATCAAAAAAATTTACAACCAATCAACTGGTATCAATGCTCCTCCAGTATCATACCTTTTCGGAATCATAGATTTTCTCTTTAATCACCTCTTTTTTACTTGTGGATTCACTCAAGCAATCTGGTAGGCAAGATAGGAGTTAACCCTTCCTAAATATCAAATCAACTATTGTTTTAAATTCTGGAAGATTGGCAATAAAGTTTAGAAAGCTAATGATCAAAGTGATGGTGCACGATTTGGTCACTCCTACCTGGTAGTGGTTGAGCTCCTAGCTGGCAATGGACGCGATACTTGCGAGGAAGAAGATGAAGGATCTCGGGGGATTCACTGGGCGGGAACACTCCGACGATCAAGTTAGTAACTTAGACTGGGAGCTGAGAGAGAGAGAGAGAGAGATGCAGAGAAATCAAGGAGCTAAGAGTGATGATCACGCGATTCCCCCCCCCCCCCTCTTGGGGGTTTGAGTCCTTATATGGTGATCTTCTGACATATCAGGTGTAACCACCTCCGAATCCCTGCTGCGGCAATCTCCTGTCAGATAACGGCTTGGCGTGGCTAGCCATTATCTGTCAGAGTTGTGCTGTCGGGTAAAGACAACCACTGCAGAGTATGGTCCTGCCAGACGCCGCCAGGTGGGAGACGTGGGTGCAGTCTGACAAGTACGATTGTCAGGCGGCGAATCTCCTATGATACGCTGAGCTGCTCTGCCGCGAGCTACCTTACACCGAGTTGCTGGTGATGCACCGAGGTGTTTTTCCGAGGCGGATCTCTTAAGTAGCCTAAGTTTGGGGGGGGGGAGCGAGCTGATCCCAGTTAGGGGGATGACAAGCTTAACCCGAGGTGTCTTCAGCTCGGGATGCCCCCTACTTGGGAGAGTCTTAGCTCGTGTCATCGGAGTATCATCTTGCCACGAGCTGCCACTTCGGGCAAGCTATCAGGCTAAGTTGTACTGAGCTCGTTATGCTGAGTTGTCACTTATGTCAAGTCATGTCCACGTGTTCCCTTATTATGAGCTCGGGCCAAATCACCCTCCATCAATTGCCCCCCCACTTCCCAAGCCAGGGGTCCTGACCCGGAGCGGGGAGTTCACGACGTGACGGGTGGATTTGGCTCGAAGTTCAGGTCGCTTAGTCAGATAGTTCGCTGGTCGGACTAGTTTGCTGCTTGTCTCAATCAAGGATAACCCGGGTTGCGTACAATTCATGCGCGGACGTCACACTATCTATAGACTCCGCAGACGTCAAAAAATGCGCTAAACTGATTTCACCTCGGGAGTCGTGCAACCGGTTTCCTTCAAAGCCGTTGGATCGTCTTGATCTTGACCGTTGATTCTCGGATATAGCGGCTATAAATAGAGGGGACCCGAGTCATTTTCTCCGCCATAAGTTCACTAGTGTTCACTCTGAGGTCGCGCCAAAATTCCTCAGCTCGGGTTCTCTAGCTCGTTAGCTTCCTAGTTCGGTCGCTTTCCTTTGGTGAGTTTCCCTAGCTTCTTTTTCAGTTCGTTTCAGTTTGTAGTTATGTTAGGTCATAGTTTTGATAGTCTCCTAGATGAGCCCGAGGTGGGTACCTCGGCTCAAGTAGGTGCCTCTGAGGCATAGTCAACCTACGAGGCGCGGGAGGCCTCGGATAACCCAGCGTCTACCTCTCATCGAGTTCGGGTACCGGATAAGTTCGGTCCCTCAACTATGACCATAGAGAGACTTAGGGCCTTGATCAGTCAGTATAATC